ATCCTCTTGACACTCCCCCTTCAGATACTTATACACGTTGATGAGATTGCCTCTCAATCTTCTCTTCTCCAGGCTGAACAGGCCCAGCTCTCTCAGCCTCTCCTCATAGGAGTGATGCTCCAGTCTCTTAATCATCTGGGGAGCCCTCCACTGGACTCTCCCCAGTAGTGCCATGTCTCTCTTCTCCTGGGGAGCCCAGAACTGGACACAGGACTCCAGGTGAGGCCTCCCCAGGGCTGAGGAGAGGGGCAGGATCACCTCCCTCCACCTGCTGGCAACACTCTGCCTCATGCAACCCAGGAGACCACAAGGGCACATTGCTTCTTGGCCACAAGGGCACATTGCTGCCTCATGGTCAACTTGCTGTCCACCAGCACTCCCAGGTCCTTCTCTGCAGAGCTGCTTGCCAGCGGGTCAACCCCCAGCCTGTACTGCTGCAAGGGCTTATTCCTCCCCAGGGGCAGGACCCTGCCCTTGCCTTTCTTGAACTTCGTGAGGTTCCTCTCCGCCCAGCTCTCCAGCCTGTCCAGGTCCCTGCGAATGGCAGCACAGCCTTGTGGTGTGTCAGCCACTCCTCCCGGATGCTGATGATTTGTATCATCAGCAAACTTGCTGAGAGTGCACTCTGTCCCTTCATCCAGATCCTCGAGGAATACGTTGAACAAGGCTGGACCCAGGACTGACCCCTGGGGGACACCGCTAGCCACAGGCCTCCAACTAGACTTTGCGCTGCTGATGATAAGCCTCGGAGCTCTGCCATTCAGCCAGTTCTCAATCCACCTCACCATCCACCCATCCAACTCACACTTCCTGAGCTTGCTTATGAGGATGTGATGGCAGACAGTGTCCAAAGCCTTGCTGAAGTCAAGGGAGGCAACATCCACTGCTCTCCCCTCATCTACCCGGTCAGTCATTCCATTACAGAAGGCTAGCAGATTGGTCAAGCATGATTTCCCTTTGGTGAATCCAGGCTGACAGGCCTGTAGTTTCCTGGCTCCTCCTTCTTGCCCTTTTGGAAGACTGGCGTGACACTGGCTTTCTTCCAGTCCTCAGGCACCTCTCCCGATCTCCAGGACCTTTCCAAGATGATGGAGAGTGGCCTAGCGATAACATCCGCCAGCTCCCTCAGCACTCGTGGGTGCATCCCATCAGGGCCCATGGATTTATGGATGTCAGGTTTGGACAAAAGATCTCTAACCTGATCCTCCTCCACCAAGGGAGAGTCTGCCTTTCTCCAGACTTCCTCTCTTGTCCCCAGGGTCTGGAATTCCTGAGGACTGGCCTTAGCAGATAACATTTTCATGATTTATGAACTTGCATATGGCAGTGGCTGCTCACTCAAAGACAGGTTACATAATCAAAATACCCACAGCACATTTTTGCTTCAGAAGTTTCCAAAATTCATTTACTTACTTTGGTTCTCAAGTAGATTTCCCCTTCCCACTTGTCAAGTCATATATATAAGTGGGCAGGATAAGTCCACACTGTTTCCTTATAGGGATTTACGTCTGGAATGCCTCTATTTCTGGGAGGAAGGTTAACAAGCGAGAAAAGAGAGACCGAAGTCGGTTATATTGATAACTAAAAAGGGAACACCATTCCAGGATGCAAAGACAATCTAACGTTCTTAGGGATTTTGATTTCTTTTACATTTGTATTAATGTTACCAACTGTACTTTTGCACTGTAAAGTTATTGCATCATGTAAGTTATTTTTAAGCCAAAGTAGAAGATGAAATTATGAGGCAAATGCTAAAATTAAAACAAGGAAGCCCTAGAAGTCTCATTAAAAACTCCACTGTTAAGAGCCTTCCTTGTAGTATTGACAAGTAAACCATTCCCAGTAAGTTAGACAGACTGCTCGTAAGTATTCATTAATGTAAACACAGTCTTCCCACACTCTAAATTGAAAAGTACAGCGTACGTTACTCAGGCACACTTCATCTTCCTTTCCACATTCTCTATTTCATGCTTTTGCAGCTCAGGCACAGTGAGCGGAGAACTAATGGGTCTACTGAGTACGGACTGCATTTCTGAATTTTAGTAAATTTCACTGAAAAGGAGCAAAATATGGCACTTTAGAACTCTGGACGGTGTCCTCATGTACTCTAAGCGTATTACGTGCAACTTGTTTGACTTTATTAGAGTTTCTCCAGTTTTACACTAGCTTAAGTTGAACGAAATCACATTTCTTTATTCTTTTTCAATTACATTGTCTACTTTGACTGACGAAGAGCGTTTCCTGGGAAAGAATTATCCTTTACATTTTTACATTTTTCAATTATATGTTTCAATATACAGCATCTTCTGAAGAGTTATGCCACACTTATGCTGGACCTAGCTGAATGATCTCAGAATATCTGCATAGACAGTGAAAACTCATTTACATGATCCCAGAGGCAGTGTCTTTTTCTTTTTCTTTCTCCAAAACTACCGGAAGCCCAGTATGCTTTGTTTTATATTTTATTTTGAAAGTACGAAACCAGGGCAAAAGTAATAAAAATGATCTGTGGAAGTCCGCCTCTGCCACTTATGAGAAAATAAGGAGAGATAGGAATAAACTATTCTGCGTTAGCCCATGACCTCTCCTTTACTCTGATCTTCTGTAGGTAGAGGCAGAAAGAGTATCTATTCATCTTCAGACTTTCCTAAGGAAGAATGTAGTAAAATTCCAAAATCTGTAGCTTTGAGAATGTAGAAAAATTTCAAGATCTGTAGCACTGGATGTAATTTTCAGTGGTTGATTTATATTTAATAGACTCCTTTTCTCCTATTTGCTTTCAATTTTTTATTCCTCCTCTTTCCTAAAGCTTCTACCAGAACACTTTCTTCATGTACTTGAATCAGATCTTGAATAAGAGTGAATCAGTATAGCTTCATGGGAATTAGAAAATCTACACCGAATTCCATTACACCAGGGTTTTCACCTTACTCTGGGTAAGAGATGAATAACAAAAGATTTCTTTAACCAAACATAACTCCCAACATGATCATTTGCACACTAACTCAAATCAAACATGTCTAACAACGTGAGGTTATAAAGGGAATATTTCCACCTTCCAGTTACATTTGAAAATACTTCTGGAGTAGTCTGATACTTTTTTCAGTTAGAATATGTCCAAGGTGGTCATATTCTGTTGTTGACTGCCTGTGACACAGTCCAACATGAGCCCTTGGACAATTTGGCATGAACGGTGATTCGCTTCTCTAAGAGGCATAAGACAGCAGTTGGCAAGTGGCAAATGACTCAACATTAGAGCTGAGTTGCAGCTGCAACACAGAAGCAGAAAATTGAAAGTCCACATAAGAGCGTATTACCATTGATGGTATTTCTTAAAGTTACAGAATAGCATATTTGTGACTGAAGCTGTTTGAGAAGGATGTAAGCGTGGTAAAGAGCAGTTCAATATCCAGCTAGCTGATTTATTTATGGAAGCATCATATTTCCTTCCTCTCTTCCCTTTGCCCATCCCTTCCACATACACACACATCCTCAAGTCTGCAATTATTTAGTATGAAAGAATGACGCTTAAGGTGTGTTGAGCACAAAAAGTACTACACTGGGAATAACGTGGTGCAGCATTGCCCTGGGGAGATGCGTTAGAGGACTGCGGCAGGGATCAGCCCAGACACAGGCACTCCCCTTCTCTTGCTTTCATACCTGCAGAGATGCTAGCCTTCTAGAAAGGGCACATATTTCCATTTTCCCTTTGCTTCTTCCATGTGAAGCCTGGACATGATGAGAATTGCGCGGGTGCTGCTGCCCCATCTGCAGAAGTTGCAGCTAAACAAGCACTCACTGGCAAGTTACTCAGCCAGCTAGAGGGAGGGCCAGATAGTACTCGAACCTTTAAAGAGCAGCTATCAAAAGAAGGAGATTTAAAACACTGCATTTCCAGAAGCAGTGGAACAAGGCTACAAAAGGTATTTTTAAGTCACATGCGATGAACGGCATTTTTAAGTTTTTCCATCATACAGACCACATGTTATTACCACTGTTAGTGTCTCAGCCCCACTTGCATAAAATCCCACAGACAGCCTAATCGTTTTCATGAAGAGTGTTATTCCAGGAAGGTATTTAATATATTTAATTTACCAACTAACATAACTTTTTTCTGAGAAGCAAGTGTAAGTAAGCAATCCTGTCTGCCAACCATAGGTTTCCCAGAAGCAGAAGAACTCTATTATTGACGTCCATGGGCCACAGAGCAGGGCTGCAGCAGCTGTTTTAGGTTCTGGTGAGAGGATATGCAACCATGCAGTGCTCTCTTTCAGCCTAATTCAGATTAGTAGCAGCCAGCTCTCACTACCATAAAGCACTTGCTTGAAGACCCTTTTAAATTATCACGTGGCTTCGTTCCACGTCGGAGGGGTGGGTTGTGCAGCTCCGCTTCGCTGCTAGGGCTGGGTGCCAGGGAGAATTCTGACTCCACAGACCACAGAATTGGCTTTTCAAGGTCACAATTCAGGCACCTTAGCTAGGAAATGTAAGATACTATGTACATGTGCTTATTTTCTAAAGGACTTCAGTGCCCAAGTGTACTGATCTCTGACCTTTCACAATTTGTAAATTCCCTGTTGTTTTTTTCTTTCCTTTAGGTCATGTAGGGAACAGAGGATTCTGTTACAAACAGTGAGAATTTTATGGCAGGAGAAAGCAGACATAAATAATGAAGCTTTATGACAGGACTATTATTTTCAGATCTAACTTCAAAGCTTATCACACCTCAAAACTTCTTTCAAACACTTACAGAAATATAAATGTGTGTGTGTACGTATACACACACGCAAACACACAGATGCAGAAGAAAAACTATCCAAACTATAATGAAATTTAGATATTTCCTTATTGGTGAAAGAAAAAAATATTTTTTTCTTTGTTCTGAAATGTATCTGAGTCTCAGGCACAATGGAGCATCAGTAGTTATTTAGATTTTGTGGTCCCAGCTTCCCTAAAAATATCCAAGAAAACTACAATAGTCCCTGCACTTTCTGAGTCTATGTTTTCCCCCCCTCTTCTTTGGGGGAGGTATGGGTATTTGTTTTTGAAATATCAGAAATTCAGTTGCTTTTGAAAGCAACTCCTTTTTTTCCCCAACAGAGGTGAGTTTCCCTGCATGCTTTCTTAAAGTCATATGACCAGGGATAGAGGAATGGTCTACAGGGACAACATACCATACATAACAGGAGACAATATGACGTTAAGCTTCCTTATTTACTCCATAATAAATAAATGTAACTATTGCATGAAATTGATCTTAGGACACTTCTAATTATTAATTTTTTCTTTTCAGGATTTCAAAACAGTCTACTCAGATCCCATAAATAATGCTTTATTTTTAAATCTAACTTATCCTCTAGCTGTATTCTTCCGTATCTGTCACTATTCAAACATCTCATTTAGTGTGCTAAGCAAATGATAGCCTATCACATAGACAATCCCTGTGTGTCATTTTGCTTTCCTGTCATAAATTATTTTATTGTGTATCTCACCTAATTTCAGGCAAAGTAGGTTCACTACCGCTCACTAGGTTTCACAACAGTTCACACAGTGCCAAATGCAAATTTCTGTAAAGACTTTTTAAATCCTTCTCCACACATACAGGTAAGTTTTAATTTCATGCTCCTTTTTAGAACTTAATAACGTTACTCTTGCATGTCAGTTTTAATTTAGAATTTACCTTATGCATTTACACAAATATTTTCCAAGCTTGAGATTAAGTTCTATCCTTATCTGCAAAAGTGAAAAAAATGTTGAAGAAAACAAAGTAGTTCTTCCTGACAAAGAATTTCTGAAATAAGCTGCGGCTTTGCGTATTGAGTTTTAGTTGTGAACAATAGTAAAGGTAAGATAATTCAGCCTTTACAAGCAGCACAGAAAGCTGAATCTGTCTCATTTTCAGCATTAGGCAATACATGAAACCCACCTGGGGATCCTGGGAAAGCCCATTCAACACTCACTTTCAGCTTCGTTTTGTTTTTCTCCTCCCACTGCCCGGCCTACATGAACTCTGAAGGACATACAATCCTTCTCGTTTTCCCACCTGTAATGAAGCATACCGGAGCAAAAGCCCTGTTAACAGAACTCAGTTACAAACGCTCTCTTAACCCATTGCAGCTGTAACAGTCAAATACATTGGTTATATGTTCTGTTCTGTTCCACTGTAAATATACTCTGCCTTTGAAGGTTACTTTTTAAGCTCCGTTCTATTGCCATAATCACACTAGGTTGAACAGCTCTAGCTAAACACAAACAAGGCAAAAATAAAACATGTGTGAAGAACCCGTGCCTTGAGGAAAAAAAGACATCCTGTCTTTTGCAAGGATTCCACAGAATGAGCATTTTTGACAATATTTATATACTCTGGGTTTTCAACTCTACCTTGGACCTCCAGCGTACAACGATTCTACACATATACACCCACACTGTACACACATTGGCATATGGTATTTACAGTACACCTTCCATATTATCATATAACTTTCTTACTTCCTACTACAAAACACTGAGCAAATTTATGCTGTGTCGCATACAGTATGCTGCGTTCAAGTGAACTTTACTAAATACAAAGTTTCAAGAGCAGGTCTGTGCGAATCATTAACTTTTCAAAAGGCACTAGTTCCCTTCTGTCACTAATGACATGCGTAACAGTTTAATGTAATGCTACTTTTAATTATCAGAGCCCTTTCTTTTAAATATCAAATTTCCCTCTCTAAATTGTCCTGAGTTCTCTTTACAGTCTCATCTGTCACTGTAAATGTCATCACTTTATTCCTCCTTTAGATGCAGTGACAGGCCCACTCTTATCCTCAGCTTTATCTCTTTTTCCATCCTTTATTGTACTACAAAGATCCCTCTTTCATAGTTTACAGCTGTATCCGCTTTCCACACGTGGCAAATGATTGCCTCGGTAAAGGTATTTTCTGTTTCAATCTTGCATTTTCCCAAGGGAGAACAAAAGGGACAAGCTTTCTGGAGTTGGTTTCACTGAGAAAATTGTTTAGAATTGCCTCATTCCTCAACAGATTAACGAATGCATACAATCCCGGCTTAAGTGCTATTGTACAGCACAATTTGTCCATTATACTTTGTCCTTTCCATTTAGAAAACCCCCTCACCAATTAAAGTAATACAGCCTTCCAATACCTGCTCCCAATTAAATCTGAGCTGTATTACCTGCCTTGATGCAGCTGGTCACAGATTCCTACCACTTACCAGCATTCATTAGCCCTATTCATTATAAAGGGGCTGGTGGCAGGAATTCAAGCTACTGGCTTTATTCAGGGGCCATCAAAATTATCAGCTTTCAGCACAAGGCCCCAATAAGAACAGGATTAAGTGAAGGGAGAGGGAATTCGTACAGTAGCGAAATGTCATTGTTTCTACTTTGCTCATGTCTCTTCTAGCCCAATGCATCGGGAGCATCCAGTGGGTGTACAAAAGAAGACAGCTGGTTACCATTGGAAAAAAAACCTTTTCCTTATTGCTTTCAACATAGCTCCTAATTTTGCTTTCCTGTGCCTCTCAACTCCCAGTCTCCTTACCCCAAAAGGTAGACTATTGTCTGACATGATCTGAAGCCTATTTACGGATGTGCTTGGTCATTAACCACTTAAGGTCCACTGCTGCAGACTGGCTCAGTGCCGTCTAGAGACACTGTTTTACCTACTGAGATGAGAAAAATTCATTTTTCTGGCGATACAAAAAGCTGCCTGCTTGCTGACGTCTCCCTGCGTAGCGGCTAGATGGTCCCAGGCATGCTGAGCTCCCAAGGCGCTCCACCAGCCGAGAGCGTGCAGTGTGGTCAGTGGCACAGCAGGCAAAATCATCTGTTGCTCTTAAGCGGTTTAAATGTCAAGGCCCGCTCTGTAATCAGAGCTGCTGGGATTTACTGGACGGCAGTGGTAGTAAGACAAGCAGTCGTGCTATACGCTTTCAGGCTGCCGCAAGCAGAGGAACTAAGACCTGGAGGGTGCAATTAACAGCACGTGGTACACAGAAGTGGCACAAAACTGTCCAAGTGATGCTGTGCCCCAGCCCTGCCCATGCCAAAGGAGCCTGTTGTCACGTCGTGGCTGGCTGCTGGAGATTTATAAGGACATTACAAACAGGAAAATTAAAAAGACATGAGAGGAAACAATAATATTACTTGTGAATGCGGTGAATGGAGAGGCTTGAAAAACTCAATCTAGCCAATTTGAGGATCAATTCTAAAGTAATTCTTCACTGCAAACACTCATGCTTTATCAAGGATCAGCAGCATATGCATATCCATAGCATATTTTAAGGTGGTGGAGGATGTATATTAGTGTTTTCCTCTCAATTAACTTCTAGGCAATTTTCCCAGCTAAATACATAACATCTTTGGCAATGTGCCAACCAAAACCTTAAGACCCAACACTAAATTCTGTACTTATACAGGCAGCTTAGATTTTCATGCGGTGAACTGGAAGAATGCCAGTAACTCCCACCATAAACCTAGCAGTAGGAACACTTTATATTTTTTTATCAAGAAACTCTACTCTACTTTTCCAAGACCTCTTGAAAATTGCACTATTTTTAATGTTCCTTTAGTACAAAATAAAAGAAAGATTTAACCTGCTATTAAATTAACCCAATTAGCCATTTATTTCATGTAACCTTACACTTCTGATGGCATAAATCAAACACACCAACATGTGGATTTTTTTTTTTTGTGAGTTATGGTAATTACACACTGCATGCTAGACAATAAATTTCTCACTAGCCTTTTGCCCTGTTCTTTCTCTCTGGAAGAAGATTATTAGAACAGAAATGTTTCAAGACTCCTCCTCATATACCTTCTATAACGCTATATGGGAACAAGGCAGAATGTTTACACACTTAAAAAGAAATAGAAAGAAAAGAAAGAAAGAAAGCAAAAAGAAAAAGGAAAAAAAGAAGGTGCGAAATATTTCCAAAGGACTGGCTTGCATTCAAGGAGTGACAAATCAAAGTGCTGGTGAGATGACGTTCTATTTGCTGGTCCTGTCATTTGATACCGGTACGGTGCTAGAGGCCACCGTTTGCTGGATATTACACCCTCTTCCTAAATTTTACTTTTTCTGAGGGGGAAAAGAAAAAAACAGTTCAAGTAAAATTTGACAGTAATTCAGAATATGAATCCTAATATCTAGCTCTACCAAATCCACAGATAGAAAAGCCTAAGTCCACATGCCGCGTACCTGATCTCTCAGCTCTCCCTTATTCTCCGGACAATGCCTTTTGTAGCGGAGCTGCCTCAGCCAATACCCTGTGCCTGCCAGCTGGGTCCTTTGTTCGCCCAAGCCATTTTTTCCCATTTTCAATGGGTTATCCCAGAGGAGAGGGAAGCAGTTGTTCCAGGATGGTAGCCACCCCCACACCCCAGCCCGTCCCCAGGTCCCTTCTCGCAGCACCCGGTGCCGAGCGTGTTTTTTGCCACGTGAGAAGGAGAGAGGATGGCTTCTCTGTGGCTGAGCAGCATTCCCAGCGCGCGCGGCGCCTGCACGCAGCCCTGGCAGGAAGGCTGTCAGTAGCATATTGGATATCCTCAAGAAGCAGAGACAGTGCCCTCCTTGGTTCTGTTTAGATATCTTCCCTGGGACTTACTTTCAAGGATGGCTCTGACTTATGACCTTGCTGCAGATGGTGAAACTGTTGCTTTGGCAGGTTGCCATTCACTTCCGGTTGCAAGTCTCACATTCTCTTCCCTTTACAACACGGGTAACCCTGCTCCCTGCTTGTAATTTTTTTTTTCTTTTCTTTTCTTTTTTTCTGTCCTCATTCCCTGGCATGCACTGTTCTTTGGCTCCGGAAGCTCGTTAGGTATTTATCACTGAAGATTTTATTCTTCCTTCCACAAAGTTCATTCCAATGATGAAACTAATGCAGCATTCTAAGACACTTTACAATATTCTGGCTAAAGACGGCCAAAAGAATGGCGAAAGCTTTTTTTTTTTTTAGTTATCAATATTTCAAATTCTCAATTAATGTTACTCCTTACCTTACAAAGCATGAACAATTCATTGTATCTTATGTGGCTTTTTAAAAATAAATGGCTTTGTTATTTTTACAGACTTTTAAAGGAAGATTGATAACATGTAGATAATACAGATTTGATATGGTGGCTTGAAATGATGTATTTATATCTATCTATCTCTCTATCAATTATAGAAATCAATGGATATATCAATTCTAGAAAATTCTTGAAAATCTTGAAAAAACCTTGAAATCCTGAAAATCTGGTTCCTCTGGCAAGGATGAAGGCGATATCAGATACATGTGGGACAGAGACATCTTTGCAGCGCGTAGGTCAGTGCCATTATTGCTTCTCTTTGGATTACGCACAGGTCTGCAAAACACTGGGTACGAGAGTTTCCCTCCTGTTCATCCTATATATTTACCTCTGTGGCTCACTTAAGCACAAAAAAGAGAAGAATAAAACATGCTTTCAGGGTGCCTCTTTTAAAAGAGCAGCTTCTAATCATTTGTGTTCCCATGGCTCTCCTCTGCAGTGAAAGGAAGCTTGGAGATACCATTACCAACATTCGTGGATACCAGTCTTAGAAACTTTCATGGTACTGCTGCTCTTTGGATTTGAGTTTTCTCCTATATCTAGCAAGTCTTCCTCCTTACGCTTGTAGGTACCCCATAGCTTCTTCTAACATTTGTACCTCCTCCTCGCTAGAAATGTTTTATCTCCAGAATACTTGGCAATTGCCTTTTGAGATTTATAGGGGCAAAAGTTGGTTTTCTCACATGTTGTTGCTGACCATTGGAGGTGGCATGCTTGCAGAGATCCCTTGATGATCTGTAACTTAGCCAAACAGCTGTGCAACCACTATTCGTGATTCATATAACCCAATCAGTTGTGTGTTCAGCTACCACGCCACTAACTATTTGAACTTCACAGTGGTATCCTAGAATTTTCCATGAAAGTTTTCAGTGATGTGCAATATTATCTTAGGATGACTTTGGTCTTCTTTCACCTATGCAGTTCGGCAGTTTTGGTTAGCAACTGTGCATGAGAAGAGACTACTCTAC